CTGCTTTTATCATTTCCTATGGAACAGTAGTATTCCATTACATTCATGTGACAGCTTATTTAGCCATTCCCCAATTGATGGACTGCCTGTTCATGTCCTTTAACCATTTATCAGTTGGGGAATGACTTATATTATAAATTTGACTCAGTTCTCTATATTTGAGAAATAATAGCCATGCAGATCTGTTTGCTGTTCACTGCATATAGTTGATCCAGTTACTTAAAATATCCTCTATCTGAATTAGTCCAGGTTAGTTCAGATAGAGGGCATTTTAAGTAACTGGAAGAAGTTAAAGCTATCTGTAGTCATAATGAAAAAATGCTCTAATCACTGTTGATTAGAGAAATGCAAATCAAAACAACTTGAGGTACCACATCACATCTATCAGATTGGCTAACATAACAGAATGGGAAAATGATAAATGTTGGAGAAGATGTGGAAGAATTGAGACACTAATGCATTGTTGGTGGAGTTGTAAACTGATTCACCCATTCTGGAGAGCAATTTGGAACTATGCCCAAAGGGCTATAAAACTGCATACCCTTTGATCCAACAATACCACTACTAGGTCTATATCCCAAAGAGATTATAAAAAAGGGAAAAGGACCCACATGTACAAAAATATTTATAGCAGCTCTTTTTGTGGTGGCAAAGAAAGGTAGTGAAAAGAGCCTGGGAATTAGGAGATGTATTTTAGTCCTGATTGTTTTTTAAGTAGCTAATTTCTTATCCATGGACAATTGTCTTTTCTCAATTGCAAAATGAGAGAATTAGCTGTGGACTGGGAGAGGACCTACATTATTGTTTACTGGGATATAATGCACATGAAGTAGAAATATCTCAAGTTTGTATAACTTTTACATACCTACAGAGACAAACTTTTTCTTGTGAGGTAATCTTAGTGTTTTTATGACTACTTTCAGTCACTATATGGCTTTTTTCTTTAAAATGTTAATTTTTTTCTCTTTTAAAAAAATTGATGCCATTTGTTATTGTCATACTTATTTCTCAATAGATCTCTTCCCCCTTCCCACACCTAGCCATCCCTTATAAATTTTAAATAGAAAAGGAAAAACCACATTAACTATGTCTGATAATATATGAAATAATAGTAGAGCTACTCAAATTGTACGCATTACTCTTTACAGTTAAACTCACTGAAGTTTTCTTAAAACCATCCTGGAGTTGTAGATAGTAGAAGCATTATCTTTTCTTTCTTTCTTTCTTTTTCTTTCTTTCTTTCTTTCCTTCCTTCCTTCCTTCCTTCCTTCCTTTTCCTTTTCAGATGAGGAAACAGGTTTGGAGAGACTACGTCACATGCCCTTTGGTTCTTGGCTAATAAGTAGCAGAGACTTGACAGATTTCCTGAATCTGTTATACCACATTGCTCTCTTAACTATTCATTATACCACTTTAGTTTGAATATGGATTGTTTTGTCTCCTTCCTTGTCTTTATATAAAACTTGAGTGTGACTTCTATGATCTTAGTTTCATTGTTATTCTCATGTTTATTTCTGCATAAAAATGAAAATTAGCTGTAGTGAATCATCAATTACTATTTAGTTAATAAAGAAAAAAATGAAAGATGAAGCTTTCATTCACTTGAAAGTTTTACTCCCTTTCATATGCATCTTGTGAAATGTTTACATATTTTTGCATGTTCTCAAAGAGATCAAATTTTAGGGATTTCACTTTATATTTGGATACTTGTATTTGAATCATTATGGTATTTTGACACTTTGCAGGTAGTACAAAAATAATAGTGAAGGAATGATAATGAATCAGAAATTCTTACTAGGGACATTGATCTCAAATTAAAGAATATTTCTCTAACCAGGGTCTGGGAAAATACCATTTACATTTACTAACTAAATTTTTCTGGACTTTGAATACTTCATTTAACTTCTGGGATTAATTGATGTTATTGTTTCAGTAATCATTTTATACTGTTGCATTTAACAGCAAAAAGTGAACTTAATTATTCCATAGGCTAAGTTTCCTTGGACTTAATTATCATTTCTGTGCAGATGACTCCCAAATTCATATATCTAGTTCTAGTCACATTCCAGTGGTCATCTTCCTTTTGTATAGTTCAAACCTGTTGTCTCATAGGCATTTCAAGTTCAGCATGTACAGAACTGAATTCATTATTTTTCCCCTCCCTGACACCTTCCTTATTTCAGTCAAGGACAGTATCATTCTTCTAGTCACCTAGATTCACAAACTGGGGATTATCCTTGACTCCTTTCTTCTTTAACCCACATCAGCAATCAGTTGCCAAATCTTGTCTCCCTCTCCAGTAGTTTCTTGATGTTGTTTCTGCCTTTCTCATAGAGCCACCAGCCTAATTCTCATCACTTCTCAGCCTGGACTGTTAAAATAGCCTAATTTGGTCCTGTCTTAAGTCTGAACTCTTTCTAATCCATCCTCCATAATTGCTAAAGTGATTTTCCTAAAGTGTGTGTGATCATGTCATGCCTCTACTCAACAAACTACAATTCCTTCTCATTGTTCTTTAGGATCAAATACAACTCCCATGTTTAGTTATTAGAATCAAATACAAGCTGACTTTTTTATATGTTTATTTCTTTATATTATATTGCATATATTATATTTATATATAATCTATTAAGATATATTTTATTATGCACATTATACATGATATATTATTTTGTTACATATTATACATATTATATAATTTATAAATATATTTATTTTTGTATTATATTTTACTATATTGCTATTTTCCTGGACATTGTGATCCAGCAAGCTTTCTTTCTTGCTGTTCTTCACACATAATACTCCATCTTGTCTCTGTACCTTTGCAAAGGCTGTCTCCACGTCTGAAATGCATCCCTGCTTCATGTCAGCATCTTAGAATCCCTTGCTTTCTGTAAAACTCTGCTCAACTGGCATCTTCTACCTTCTGCATGAAACCTTTTCTTTCCCTGCCTCCCTCCCCCCCAGTGTTTTTCCTTGTATTTATTGTGTGTGTGTGTATACCTACTCGTGTACATATCTTCTGTAGAATATAAATTCCTTGAGGATAGAGACTTTCATTTTTGTCTTTACGTCAAGTGCCATATATGTAGGTGCTTAACAAATATTTGTTCATTTATTGGTGTTTTGAAGATTATCTCAACACAACTCTGTGGGTTCCATGTGACAAAAATGCATGCATGGAAATAATTGAAAATAAGTCACCACTGTCCTTTATATTCTTCATATGCCTAGACTTTAGTGCTTTTGCAAATATGGGATAAAAACATAAGTATATTGGCAGTGAGCTGTGTGGTAATTTTAAAATAGAAATTAGGTGTTGGAAGAGAAAGGGAATTTTGATTAGTAGTTACTCCCAGGTTCTTCTGCCATCCTGTCTCTGATCTTTTTTATTTTTCTTTAAGGGAAGAAAGAAGATGATAAAATATTGGAGTATATAGATATATATGTGTATATGTGTGTGTATGTATGTCTGTTTAAAAACAAAAGAACTTATATTTTTTGGTAGGGGTATTAGGAAGTCATACATGGTCAGTGCTACATGGTCAGAATTTCTCCTAAGTAAAATCACATTGGTAGTTGAGGATGAATTGGAGTGGGGAGACTGTGAGTAGAGAGAAGGTATGTAACATGAAAAATGTTTGGAGGTTGAAATGGACAGGGTTTGGCAGTTGATGGGTAGTTGATGAAGTGAGGAGAGAGAGGAATTAATCATAAAGAAAGCTGTGAGTGTAAGAACCTGTGAGACCAGAAGGGTGGTGCTGCCCTCCATACAATAAGGAGGTTCATTGGTGGGGAGGGACAGGGGTGACGGGGTGGGGTGGCTTGGGAAATTGCCAAGTTCTGTTTTAGATATGTTGTCTTTGAGATATCTCCTGGAAATCCATTTTGAAATATCAACTAAGCTAGTGGTACTGAAGACAGGAGAGATACTAGGGCTGGATGAATAGAACTGAAAATCATCTCCATGCAGTTGGAAGGTATTTTAGAGATAATATAATACAGTCTCCATGTTTTACCAATGAGGAAAATGATGGACCTCCATAAAAAAGTGACTTCTTCCCTAGGTCACAACCTGTATCTATACTGTTATTCTTGAAATGCTTTTTTTAAAATTATAATGAAACCTTAATTGACCAGAATGGTCAAAGAGTGGATATTCTCATTAATTTCAAGTAAAGAAACTGTATTCCACCTTTTGTTAAAAGCATTTTGTGAAAAGTAATTTGCTTCAGTAATATGTACACTAAGTACAATTGAATTTTTCTGATAAGAGGATCTTACAGTGCCTTAAGTTTTTGTTTTGTTTTGTTTTGTTAAAACAAAGTTCAGAGTATGGTGGTACAGGTAGGAGAGGAGAATAAATGTGTTATGACTTCTAAGGCCCATGCAAAGTTGATTTAAAAAAACAACAACAACAACAACAACAACAAAACCCAATCACCCTAAATCCCTGGAATGAGTTCATTTTGTTGAACTTGCCTACTTGTTTCTTCTGAAATGGAGAGACAGATAGTGGTGTAACAGATAACGTGTTGGACTTGGAGACAGTAAAACTTGGGTTTTGAATCCTGCTCTGGACATAAATTATATATATGACCATTGGCAAATCACTTAACCTCTCTAAACCTCAGTTTATTAATTTATGAAATGATAATTATAATGCCTGTAGTACTTATCCCCCACAGTGTTGATATGATCCTCAAATGAGGGTATAAGTAAAGTGCTTTCCAACTTTTAAAGTGATATAAATTTCTATTATTATTATTTATTGGGATATATACACGTTGCTGTGATGAATCTGGTACTGGTTAAACTTAAATTGAATGAATCTGTTGAACACTTATAGACAAACTCATGCAGACTCTTTTTAAGTGAATTAGAATATAATAGGCTAAAATTATGTGGCATAAAAATATTACCATTCATACTTTTAACATACAGGATGACAAACATTTTATCCATTCACTAGATGATTTATTACTTAACTTTTGGTTTAGTTTTTGTAGAAAATGTTTCCTGACTGCTATGAGAGAAAGTGGAATACACTGTCCCCTCTGTCGTGGAAATGTAACTAGAAGAGAGCGAGCATGTCCTGAACGGGCCTTAGACATTGAAAATGTCATGAGGAAATTTTCTGGTAGTTGCAGATGCTGTGCAAAACAGGTAGAGTAAAATATGCTGTATTTGATATTTAAAAGTTAAGTTTTCCACACGAGAGATAACATAATTTCATTTGAACTCATTCATTTTCTGAGCCATAATTTGACTTTATTGATAGTTTTTGATAGTTAATTGATTGTTTTTATTATGATAATATTGTTACAGCTTTATAGATCGTAATATCATAGACTTAAGAGTTGGAAGGGCCCTCAGCGGCCATCTAGTACATACACCCCCATATCTCGTTTTATAGATGAGCAAACTGAAGGCTAGAGAAGTTGTGACTTGAACAAGATCTTAAAAGTTATATGTGAAGTTAAGGAACCATAGTATGAGAAGAAATTCCAGTTGGTCACTTACAGCAATCATAAAATATTTGACAACATTGACAACTAACTTCATTATTTATTGCTCACTTGTTCATCATAGAAAACCTTAAAGTTTCTGTCATGTGGAGAAGGAATGTATGATGGACAATTATGATAATTTATCTGTGGACCCATTAAAGACATTGCTTTATTTTAGTTGATGAATTTTGTGAACAAAGTCAGATTCTATTTCATGCATTTACCCAAGTCAGATAATACCACTCTACTTTTGTGAGAGGGTTGCATAACTGATGGAGAAGTAGAGTGAAGCTAGGTACACTTGAAAGATACTGATTCCACTTCTCATTGCTGAAATGAAAAACGTGTATACTGTTAACCTGACAGCTTTCCTTTTTCAGTCTCTTATGTTGAAGACTAGGAAAAAACTCGATAGTGTTTAATAGTAATGTAGTTAATATGCAGTTAATTATTCTTAAAGCTACTATATTAGTAGTTAAGGTATAGCAATGGCAATAAAACACATTTAAAATTATTAGTAAAAATAAGTTTTAGTAATTGTAATGCCAGGGTTTAACGACTTTATATACTTGATAGGTAAATATGATTTTTTACTCATGCTTACAATGTTTTGGTTGGAAAGAAGAAACCATTTTTAACTGTTAAAAATTTCAGTAGGGGAAGAATTCTTTTCTTTTTGTTGGAGTGTTTACCTTATACCCACCTTTGGCTTTTTCTGTTATTCCCAGAACTGTCTTTTAATCTTGTGAGAGATTTCTGTTTCAAATGCAAAATTGTTTTGGATTTAATTTGCAGATCAAATTTTATCGCATGAGACATCATTACAAATCTTGTAAGAAGTATCAGGATGAGTATGGCGTATCCTCCATCATTCCAAACTTTCAGATCTCTCAAGATTCAGTAGGGAATAGGTAAATAATTTTTGTTCATTTAAAAGTAGTTAATGTATTATAATTTGCTAACTACTTAGATGAAGGTAAAAGTAAAGCAAAACTCAGGTTTTTAAAGCAATGGTATGGAAATTGTTTTAAATAAGCTGCTATAAATTGGCTAGGGAAATGACTTCAGAATTATATTTGGGAATATGTAGGTTAAATCTTGGGCCTCAACATTGTAGCATGCATGTAGAGCACAACTGATTTAAAAAATGAAGTCTGTAGACTTTTGAACTTTACCTAGTGCTTTTGCCTAGGAAGTAGTTAGACTTATTTCTGTTCTGGCATTACAACTGAATTGCTTTGTGACCCATAGTAAAATAAAATGCCTTTCCTGTTTGTCAAGTTGGAATCAAATGTCATCTTTCCTTTATAAAGATCCCTTATCATTAAAGGAATAAAACTAATGAGTTGTATAGATTAAACTTTACATATAACCCATTTAACATATTGGTGATAGAAATAGTCTTCCAGTGTTAGAAAAGTAGAATTTGACTTGTTGGTGAAAATTCTTAATTAAAGACCCCACATTTTCTATAATTTGGGATTAGTGTTTATGAGTCTATAGGTCAGCGTTTTCACACAGTGCCAATTTTGAGTACGTATAAATTGGAAAAATTCTAGAAAATTGAGTTTTGTATTGGAGAATTGGAAAGGACATTGTTCAAATAGTCTAATTCTCTCTTTTGATGCATTAGGAAATTAAAGGTTAGAGGGGATGAATGACTTTTTAGCAAGAGTACTCGGATCATAGAACTGGAAGAGAGCTTAAAGGTTGTTCAGCCTAATCTCCTTCATCTTACATATGAGGAAATTGTGGCTCAGAAAGGTTAAATGACGTTCCTAAGCTCAGTTAGATAGTAGGGGTGGTAGAGCTGAGGTTAGAACTTCGGTCCAGTGACTCTCTGAATTCAGCATTACAAGTTCTGTACTGTTTTTACCCTACTGCTCTGCCTCCAAGTTGTGCTGACTTCCAATCTCAAACTCTTTGTGTTATATTTGATATAGCTAGTGGTGAATTTCTTATAAATGCTTCAGTAGATTAACAAAGACCCAGATATAGAGGTTTAGGTTTTCAGGGCTAGTTTGGAAAATGATGCTGGTCCAGAAGGGGAGGAGCTGGTCAGAGACAGCAGGCAGATGGTAGGATGGTTGGATGGAACGTGAAACTGAAGACTGGTCTGATGTCTAACAGGTAGGTGTAGTAATCTAAATGGGCTACTCAGTCACCAGTGAACCATGTTGGGCTCTGGAGGTGGGTGATTAATTTCACTAGGGATGGAGGGGGGTGTTCTTGGATTCTCAAGTAGAGAGTCTGAGGTCTGATGTGGAGAAGGGTGCTGGATAACCAGGTGGGAAGGAACAGTTCAGAGGTGGCAGATAAATAGTGAGAATGGCCTGGGTAGATGACTGGTTGGGATGTGAAATTCAGTACATATTTCTGAACATCCCATGATAACCTTTATAAAAATTGATTATTTGGTTGGGCATCATAAACAAATATCAAAAGTCAAAAATAATAAAATGTAGTCATTAGAGACTATATAGTACAATAAAAACATAATGTATAAAGGCACTATGACCACAAAATAGTACACATGAATGGAGAATGAGTAATAACATTCTGAATAATGAGTAAGTTGCAGAATAAATTATACAAATGAAAAATAACTTAAATCATTGTAACAGTGAGGAAACATACTAAAACTTACAGGATGTAGTTAATGGTAGTCTTCAGAGGGATTATGTCTCTGAAAACTTAACAAAATAGAAAAAGTCTAAATGAAATGAACATGCAGTAAAAAGGAGTGGAAAATATATTAGCAACCCTAAAAAGTATTAAAAAAAAAAGACATTTTGAGTGTTAGGTAAGTTAAAAAAAAAACCTTGAAAAAACCAAGAATTGATTAAAAAACAGCTGATTCTTTGAAAAGATTAACAAAATAGAATAAATCATTATCTGACCTGATCAAGTAAAAGATAGGGAAAAGAAAATTATTATGATATAAAATCAGCAAAATTTGTAACAGAAGGAATAAATAAAATAATTAAACTTCAACGAAACTGGGAGCTCAAAAGGAACTTGAATATTTACAAAGTATATAAAAGTGTTGCCATGCTAATAGAGCAATAATTAGAAATTCCTAAGCAGCCAGATTTGAGAAGAAGAAATCAAAGAGGACATAAATGGATTAAGAAAACTGCCTAGACAATTTGAATTTTTTGGTGAATTCTGTCAAATATTTAAAGAGTAATTTATACTTAAGCCACAAAAATTATTTTTGGGAAATAGAGACAGCAAACTGTTCTAAATCTCTTTTACAAAACAGATGTTGTCCTGATCTCAATCCAGGGAGCAACAAAGTAGAGAAAGATAACTATACAACTATTTCTGAATCCATGTTGATGCAGAAATGTAAATGAAATCACAGGAGATAACAGCAACATATCCAGAAAATAATTTCCTATGATAAAGTTGGATCAGTACCACGATTTTAAGGGTAGCTCAGTTTCAGGGAAAATTAGCTTAGTCATATAAATGATCACAAGATTATTTCACTAGATATGGAAAGAACCTCTGACAAAACATATCACTCATTTATATTGAAAATCCTAAAAGTGTAGGTATGGAAGAGACATTTTTATATGATGAAAAGCATATGCTCAAAATGAAGACTTAGCTTTGTTTGCAACAAAGAAACACTGGAAGCTTTCCCAGTACAAACAGGAGCAAAGTAAGGATTCTCTTCCAGTATTTTTTTTCATAGTTTGAGAAATACTAGCTATAGCTTTCATAGTATGGTACTAACATTGTAGTATATAATGTAAGCCTTGCTGACTTTCATTGTTACCTTTTTTTACATTGTTGTAGTCATGAAGTACTAGGTGGTTCTTTACATTTCTTCATTCCATACCACCTCAGAAGAAATATATCCCATGGTTCCTAGAATCTTTAATAGAGGTCATTCTTTAAGGCACAAGTTTACAGTATTTTCGTATTTCATAGTTCAGAGATTCCTAGTGTTTGGGCACATAGTTCATTTTCATCTTTTTGAGTCACAAATAATACTGCTATGAATATTTTAGTGCTTTTGATCATTCCTTGATTTTATTTAAATTCCTTGGGATAGAAACCCAGCAGTGAGAGAGATAGCAAGGTCAAGTGGCATGAACAACTTAGTAATTTTTCATGCATAATTTTAGGTTTGCTTTTTTTAAAAACCGCTAGCTCCCCACCCTGATTTTAAAGTAAATATTATTTGATGCTTTACCCCCTTATATTAGTCATTTCAACACTCTTCCCCACCCCTACCCCCTGTTTTCTTTGTGACAAAGAAAAATAAGCAAAACATTTAGTAGGTCCAGTCTCACTTAATAGACAGTATTTTGCTGTCTGGGTTCTTCATTGTTTTTTCAGTTCTTGAGAATTAAGCTTTTTGTGATCTTTTAGTTTATGTTGTTGTATTCTTTGTATATATGATTTTTTTTTTGTTCCCTCATTTAGTTCTGCATTAGTTCACATAAGTCTTCCCATTTTTCTCTGAATTGCTCTTACTATTTCTTGCTTCATAATAATATTCCTATATATATATATTTTTTTTTTTCTCCTAACATTTCTTATATTATGAGACTTTATTTTTACTTAATTGCTACCACAAAGAATGGGCAACTAGGTGGCACAATGGATAGAGTGCCTCAGATACTTAGCTCTGTGACCCTGAGCAAGCCACTTAACCCTGTTTGCTTCGGTTTTCTCTTTTGTAAAATGAGTTAGAGAAGAAAATGGCAGACACTCCAGTGTCTTGGCCAAGAAAACCCCAAATGGGGGTCATGAAGAAATAGACATGACTGAAAAGAATGACTGAACAACAAACAGATCTATGGGATAAGCGAGATCATTAAATAGGTCAACAAATACTTATCAGTGGGATAAGTGAGATCATTAAATAGGTCAAAAGGTATGTATTATTTAGTCGCTGTTTTGTATAATTACAAATTTGAAATTTGGAATAGTTGAGCCTTTTCAAAGCTCCACTAATAGTGCTTTAGTGTAGTTGGCTTCCAATAGCCTCTCCAACATCAGTTGTTTATTTTTTTGTAATCTTCACAAGTTTGCATTTTGTGATGTGTGAAACCTTTTAATTTCTTTTAATTTCCATTTTTTTGTAATGATTTTGAGTATGTTTTTTCATTTATTTATATAATTTGCAGTACTTGGGAAAACTGCATACCTTAGACAACCTATCTTTTGGTAGGTTTATTTTTGGATGTATGTTCAAATTTTGGACAATTTACTTTAAAATACTGTAGTGCTCTTAAGAATATTAGTGAAAACATTTAATATTTTATTTTAGTATTTGTCAACTTTTTGTATTTTAAAATTGAGTTACATTTTTTTTTTTAATTAGACCATAAAAGTTGAAGCAGATTTGGAATTTTGTGTGTCCTGGGAAGGGACTAGGCTGAAATTTGTAGTATTTGCAAAGAAAGAAGTTATTAATTTTGTAAGAAATTCAAGATGATATTTTAATACTACCTCACATTTATATTGTGCTATGAAATTTATTAAATAGCCCCTGTGATGATATTTGCTATAAATGCTGAAGTATTCTCAGAGAGGTTAAGTAATTTGCCCATGCCATGCAGTTAGATTTTGAACCCAGGTCTTGTGGCTCCAGTACTCTGCCACACTGTATCAGAAAACTTATAATTTACCTAAAGAAAACAGGGGAGAGACTTTTCAAGTAACCCCAAGGCCTTTGTAGAGTCAAATTATATGCATTTAATATATTCATTCAGAATTTTTCTTAATAATTATAATTACAACTCACATTTTTATAGTGCTTTTAGGTTTTCAAAGCACTTTACTCACAACAACCCTGTCAGGTAGGTAGACAACCCATATCTAAGTGGAAGGAGAGCACTGGCTTTAGAGTCAGCACACCTGAGTTGTAGCCTGGGTTCTGCCGATAACTTGATGTATAACCTTGGGTAAGTCAGTTAACTTTTATTTTTTAAAATATTTTTATTGCCTCCCTTAAAAACAACACTGCTGAACACTACTGTCACCAACTAGACAAACACAACTGATTTTAGAAGGGGAGGAATTCATTTTGAAAAAGAAATTTACATTACTGTTTGCCTTGGAGACATTGACCTTGCCCCCTTTAAATGATCTTGTCTGAAGTCTAAAAGACAAACTAAAGAAGTTCTTTGAAAAACATTAATTTTTATAACTGTTGGGAGTCTTCAGGCTTAAGAATTTCACCTCTATAGAATGCTCAACTCTAGTTCAGACAAAAAAAAGAACTTGAATTATAGCTAGCCAAGAAAATTGACCTTTTCTGCACTCCCTTTTTATATTATTTCTTTATATGCTTTTGGGTTTACAGGAAATCAAGGGAGGGAAAGAAGTTCCCTTTTAACTCAATTCAAACTACCATTTTATAAGGGAAAAAATAATTAGATTTCAAAAAAATATTGAGTACATGTAGTCTAAGGTAGCAATTACAAGAGAAATATAAGGTGTGGTTCCTACCCTCTTGAGAATTTACAGTTTTGTGAGGGAGATGAGTTACATGGGTAAAATAATTAGAGAAGTATATATCATGGCATATTGTGTTGTTTTCCCTTTACATTCCTAGTTCCCAGCATAATGTCTTGTATTTAGTAAATGTTCGTTGATCAATTAAATATTACCAGGAGCCCAGCATGTAGTGGCCACCTTGCATTATAAATAGTCAAGCAGAGGAAAGATTCAGTTCAACGGTATCTGTCTGCTAGATGCAGAGATTCCATGAGATCTAGTCCCTGTCCTTGAGTTTATAATCCAGTAGGAGGATATTACACTTGCACATAATTATAATATAAAATAGAACTTAGGTACTTTATAGTTTTTAAAATGCTTTCCTCACAGCAACCTTACACTGTAGGTGGTATAAGTCTTATTATCTACTTTTTACAGATGAGGAAATTGAGGTTGCCCAGTTAAATGACTTGCTCATGGTTGAATGTATGTCTTCTGACTTTGGTTCAAGTGCCCATGAATAAAAAAATAAGTGTAAACTTCCAGCCATTTGAAGTTTCTCCATTAATTGACCCCATTTTCCTATTTTTTTGGGCGGCGAGGCAGTCGAGGTTATGTGACTTGCCCAGAGTCACACAGCTAGTGAGTGTTATGTGTCTGAGGCCACATTTGAACTCAGGTCCTCCTGACTCCAGGGCTGGTGCTCTATCTACTGCACCATCTAACTGCCCTTCTCTTTCCCTATTCTTATCTCCTATCGCTAACTCCCTGCCATATTCTCTACTGTGTTCAAGTCAGTCTTTTCTCTTTGTTCTACAAACATTCCATATCTCATTTCCTCTTTCCCTTTCCATATGCTTACTTCCTTTCCCCTTTGCCCCCCTCCCCAAATATAATAGCCTCTTTGCTATTCTACCTATTCAGATTTTAACAATTCTTCAAGACCTTCCTCAAGTTCTGTCTATTTCCTGATTTTGTTTTTCCCAGTAAGTACATTATGTACTTCTGTACCGAAGAAGTTCAAAGGGAGGCTGCATGTGGTCTGAGGAAGGGCATCTCATGCTCAGAAGTTCGTATGATTTTCTTAAACAAATCATTGTTGGTCAACCTAATCGTTGAAAGCTTCATGAAGGAGGTAGAACTTGAGATGGGTCTTGAAGGATAGGAAATGAATATAGAGTGTTTGAGGTACAGCAGGAGACTGACTCAACCAGAGCAAAAACTATGTTGGGGGAGTTGTTGGAGGTAAATTCCGGAAAGGGAGGCCGTATCATGGAGAGGAAGAGCCTTTGGATAGCAAAGAGCAAAAGTTTATACTTATTTATACATGTTGTAGAAAGAGCACATAAGTTGAAGTCAGAAGATATGTGTTCAAACTTTGACTCTAGAATTTTATGAGCCATGTGACCATGGACAAGTCACTTAACCCCAGCTTTATTTTCCTCCTCTGTAAAATGTGGATAATAATACTTGCATTACCTAATTCATAAGGTTGTTATAAAGTACTGTCAATATGTAAGCTGCCATTTTGGGTTTTGGAGTGGAAGGAATGACCTGATGGAAAGTTGTGTTTTTAGGAAGATTATTCTGGCAGTCGTATGTAAGACATTTGTAAGGAAGCCCAGTTAAACAGTTATTTTGGTCCAGGCATGAGGTAATGAAGACTTGGATGAGCTAATGGAAATGAGAATGGAGAGAAATGAGAACTTACAAACAAATTGAATGAGATAAGAAGAAAAAGTATACATTTCCATAAAAGCACTTTAAATCTTACCTACAGGTTGCTAAAGTTGGCGTTCCCAAAGTTTTATTTTCCTCAGCTTTCAGAGGAAAAAAGGCATAATATTTTGTTTTGAGAAGTGGGAATGGACACCTGATTTTTAAACATCAAACAAATATCTGATTTCATCGTGAACCAGTACTTTTAAGATATTTCTGTTGAAAGAATATTTTTGTATTTTTAACTATAAGCATAAATGAGCCATTCCTCCCACTCCAATGATATATTTTTTTAAAGCAAGTGGCAAAAGGCCTTTGCTATCTTTCTTGTTGGTTCAAGTTGATGAATGCGTTTTAAAGTAATATAAAACTGCTTTTAAAAAATGCTGAACTGGGGCAGCTAGGTGGTGCAGTGGATAGAGCACTGGCCCTGAAGTCAGGAGGACCTGAGTTGAAATGCGGCCTCAGACCAAACACTTGACACTTACTAGCTGTGACCCTGGGCAAGTCATTTAACCTCAATTGCCTAAAAAAACCCCAAAAAACGCTAAACTGTTTCTTCATAAATATTCTAAAGTCCAAAGTTTCCATTCTCATTCAGGCTCTTCCACTCAGTAAATCCAAATGATGAGGTTTTCCTGTACTTTGGGATTTTAATTTGAACCACTTATGACAATTTTATACTTAATTTTCTCCTATACCTTTCTTAAGTAATAGGAGTGAGACATCTACGTCTGATAATACAGAGACCTATCAAGGAGATGCAAGGTAATTTTTTAAAAAACTGATTTTTTAACAAGTGGTATCTATTTTTACTAAATAACCATAATATTTTTGATTGGATTAAAATTTCTAGGCCATAGTTTACCTGAAATATTCAGAGTAATTATTTTACCTTGAAAACTTAGCTTTTAAGATTTTTGATTCCTCTTGTCAGTGACATATATAGGAATACTTAGTTTGAACCATATATTAGTAGATAGGTTGTATAAATTGTCAGTGAGAGGGAGGTGACAGTATAAGATTGCAGGAGAATTGACTTTTGACAGTGTGGTTGATGATAGGTACAAAATATTGTTAACATTTTAAAACAGTTTTTTTTTTCATCCCTTGGACAATTTAGTATCCATGCTAACCAGTTGAGACAGCACAGAAGTTTATTATAGAGTTGCCAGCATTGAACTTTTTCTTGGGAAAATTAATATCCCTACTAACTTTCAGTGTAGTTTTGAACAGAATGGGGGAAAGCTTTTATTCAGAGCATTCTAAATTTAAATGTCAGAAAAGTCATGCAACTATGATAAAATGGCTAACTATAGCCAAAGCAGTATTACAATATAAAATAGAAGGATCCATTAATGTATTTCTTGGTATTTTGAATGAATCTAAATTTAACATTGTTGTCTTTTAAAAGAAAAATATTGGTATCTTTTGTTCTTATATCACCATCATTTCCAAATATATCCCTCCCTACTTCTCCACTCAATAAACCATTCCTTGATTTCTTGGAATAAAAAAGAAAGATAAATTAAGTTCAACAAACCCAACCAACATATCAAGTTAGTGTGGCAGTGAATGCGATATTTCACACTAATTGTCCCCTACCTTTGTAAAAAATGGAGGAAGTACATTTTCTTAACCTTTCTCTAGGACTAAGTTTCTTGGTTATTATCATTACATGTTCAGTTTCTTCGTATTATTGTCTTGCAGTTCTACTGGGCATCCCACATTTAAGTGTCCCTTGTGTCAAGAAGCAAACTTTACAAGACAGCGTTTACTGGATCATTGTAATAATAGTCACCTCTTTCAGATAGTCCCTGTGGTAAGTATGGTTGAGGCAGTGTAAGTCTTAATTAATTCTTAAAAGTTTACAACAAGAATAATAAAGAGTCATTTACTTCACTTGTATACATCATTGTGGATTTTATCTTTTATACACAGACACATTTAGATACAGTGCCATAAAACTGTTTTTCAAAACATAGTTAAATTTTTATCTTTTTCTTAAAACTATGCTTGTAATCTTAAAATAATATTACTAAATGGTTAAAATTAATTTAAAAAAATTAGGTAAAGCAATATTCCTGCTTCAGAGGTTTTAAAGGTCTATCTGACCTTATTCATTGCTATTATAAAATGGGAACTATTTTGGGGATACAGTAGAATAGGGTGGTGCTATCAAGGAGAAGGCAGAAGTAACAGAGGTACTTATCGTCCTTACCATTCTCACTGCCATCACCCTAGTTAATGCTATTAATCAGAGTTTGGCACACCAGGCCTCCCTACTTCTACTATCTCTGTCCTCTAGTTCATTCTATCCACAGCTGCCAAATGTATCTTCCTAATTCACTGATCACTCAATTATTCAGGTTCCTCCACGGTTCCCAATCATCTTCAGAACAAAATCCCTTAAAATGACATTCTAGGACTTTTGTGGTCTAGCTCTAACCTGTTTTGTATCTAGATCTTTTGCCACTCAGTCAACAAGCTTTTATCATATAAAGCATAAGGGAAATAATAATCCCTGCCCTCCAGGAACTTATAATCTTGACAGTGGAGAAAACATGTGTGTATATTCAAGATAGTTACAAAGTAGCCTTAAGGTAGTCATTGATAGCTCGGTGGAACAGAAAATGTCTCCTCCAGAAGTTGTCCCTTAAGTTTAGTCTTGAAATAATCCAGTGATTCTAAGAGGTGGAGGTAAGGAGGGAATGCATCCCAGTCATGGGGGCAGCAATCATTGTAAAAGCAAGGAGACAAGAGATGAAGTATTTATGTGTGGGAATAACAAATAGAGCCGTGCTTTAGTAAAATTTGGCTATATAAAGGATGGATTGGGGTGGGTAGAAGACATGAGGACTGCAGAACGAATAGAAGGCCATTGCAGTATTTGCAGGCAAGAGGCAATGAGAGCCTAAACTAGGTTGGGTGGCTATGTGAATGGAAAGAAGTTAATGTATAGGAGAAGTGTTGTGGAGGTAGAGGTGACAAGATTTGGACAATTGTGATATAAATGAATGGGGAGTTAAGACTGAGGTTGCAAATCTGGGTGACTTAAAAACATGTTGGTGACCTTGACTGAATAGAGCTACTCTGGATTTGAGTCCAGATTGTTTGACTCCAAATCCAACGCTCTTCAGTTTGCTGTGCGTAATTGTAGTTCCAGTGGTCATGCTTTCAAAGTAAAACCAGCCTCATAATAATGATGTTATATAAATGAATATATGTTGTATTTGATATGTACTCATTTTATTAGAATCTGCAGTTGAAGTAAAATGATCCCTTTTAACCTAGAAGTATATGATTCTAAATTTTTTCTAATTCTTGCCTCTGTTCCTATTCAACTTTTAAAATTGTTACGATCTCACAGAATTTTGTATTCTTCAAATGTACTTATTCCTTTTCTTAATTATATTTATGGATATTTTATGATCATCCCTACTATACTAAGCTCCTTGAAGATGTCTTATTTTTTAGCATTTTCCCTAGGACAACTGAATTGCAAATAGTAATAAATATATGTTGAATGAATATTGAGGCAGTGGTAGAGCGGCAGAGGTTGGAGGTTTTTTTGCTACTCAGTTTTATTTTTCTAATTTACGAAGCATTTTGTAATAAATATGCTTACTCAAGCAAAACCAATTCCCACGTTGGCCATGTCCAAAAATGTATATCCCATTCTGTACTCTTGAGTCCATCACCCTTTTGCCAGGAGGTTGGCTAGCATGCTTCATCATCATTCCTCTGGAATCATTGTTGGTCATTGGAACATAAATTCGTATAAGGCTTCTCAAGACTCTGAAATCATCTCTTTGTGTTACTTCTTATGGTGCAGCAATGTTTTATTATGTTCAGCTATGATAATTGACTTAGCTGTTTCCCATTTGTTTCGTTGGGGGAAAGGGCATCATAAAAAGTGCTACTATAAATATTGTACATAAGAGTCTTTTTTATTGTACAGAAGTCTTTTTTTTAAATTATCTCTTTGGGTTATCTAAGTCTAGTAATAGTAATATTAGAGCAAATGCTATGGAGAATGTAGGGAATTTTGGGGTATAGTCCTTAGCTTCCTTTTCAGTTCCAATTAAAATCCTGCCTTCTACAGGATAGCTTTCCCTTTAACCCCTCTTAATTATAGTGCTTTCCCTCTTTTAATTATTTCATATTTATCATGCTTATAGCTTACTTTGTATGTGTTTGTATGTTGTCTCCCCCGTTGGATTGTAAGCCCAATGAAGGCAGGAGCTGTCTTTTGCTTCTTTTTTGTATCTAATGCTTAGCACAGTGCCTGGTACATAGTAGACATTTAATAAATGTTTATTGGTTGATTGAGATTGCTTTCCAGAATGGTTGGACCAGTTCATAACTCCACCAGTGTTTCATTAATGTGCCAGTTTCAGCACTTGTAATTTTTGTTTTTTGTTATTTTTGTCAGTGTTGTGGGGTGAGATGGAACCGGAGAATTATTATTAGTGACTTGGAGCACTTTTTCATATGGCTGTTGGTGGCTCTTTCATCATTTGAGAACTGCCTGTTCATATCTTTCGACTGTTTCTCTGTTGGGGAATGGCTCTTGTTTTTAAATATTTTGAATCCATTTCCATTTTGGGTATCAAATGTTTTGTCAGAAGAACCTGTTGTAAAGATATTTTCCACTTGCTGTTTTCTCTCTTAGCACTTTTCCCCGCTTAAGTACCCCAGTACCCCTTGACCCAGCAATATCACTACTAAGTCTGTGTCCTAAAGAGATTTAAAAAAATTAAGGAAAAGGACCTGTGTGTACAAAAATATTTATAGTAGCTCTTTTTGGGATGGCAAAGAATTGGAAATTGAGGAGATATCTATCAAATGGGGAATTGTTGAACAAGTTGTACTTTATGATTGTGATGAAATACTGTTTGCTAAAAGAAATGATGACCAGAATGCTCCAAGAAAAACTTGGAAAGACTTACATGAACAGATGCAGAGTGAAGTGAGCCAGAACCAGGAGAACGTGATACACATTAACAGCAACATTTTATGATGATCAGCTGTGAATGACTTAACCATTCTCATCAATATAATTATATTCCAAGACAATTCCAAGGACTTGTGACGAAAAATGCCGTCTATCTCTAGAGAACGAAGTGATGGAGTCTGAATGCAGATTGAAGCATACTTTTTTTTAATCTGCTTTCGTAATATGCCTAATATAGAAATAGGTTTTTTGTGACTGCACCTGTATAATCTATGTCAAGTTGCTTCTTAGAGAGAATGGAGGGGAGGGAGAAAATTCAATTTAGAACTCAAAATAAAAGCCAACTAATGTTAAAAATTGTTTTTATATGTGATTGGAAAAAATTATAAAAATTTTAAAAAGGGGTGGAAAAGAGGAGTTTGATTAACAATAATTTATAACTGAAGCAATTTTCGTCTATGTGATTGTCCTTCTCTTCCTTTTGCCTAGACCTTGATTACTGGTTCTTGCAAATTTTTTTTTCCTTTTTAATTCCCTCTTCAATATCTACTCTCAAGCTGAAGTTTGTTTAGCTTAAAGTTATTCCTTCCCCAGTATTATCCTATTTACCCTTCTAAAGGGCTTTGCCTATTTTCTTTTTGAGTTTGTTGCTTTTCTTCATCAGATTCTCTGTGTGTGTATTCAGCTTATCAAATTTAGATAAGAGTGAGGTTACCCCTCTCATTTTTTCTGTGTTTGCATATTCTTCTTTCCCACTCCCTTTATGAGAAATACTAGGTTCCACCCACTTCTTCCTCCTTCTTACACTAATGTATCATTTTTAATCTTCCCCTTTTTTCCTCTTCTTAAAACTTAACAGCATAGAGCTAGTCCACCCACAGATTTTCTCATTGTCTTATTTAACTCCCTCAGTGCCCTTTGAAGATACTAATATTCTGAAAGGACATTTGTTTTCCTCTCTGTATTAGAATGTTAGCATTTAATCATTCTGTATCTCCTTCCAGTTGTTCAAATACATTTCTTTCTAGGTTCAAATTTTCTATTTAGCTCTTACTTTTTAATTCGGAATTCTTGAAAGTTATGTGTTCCCTTAAAGGTCTATCTTCCCTTTTTTTTTTTTTTTTCGTTTAAGAATTCAGCTTTGTGGGACATATTTTTTGTGGTTATAATTAAGTAAGTCTATCTATTTTGCTTCTTGCTATATTTTATTCCAAGAATGCCTTTTGTTTATAGTAGATGCTGCTAGGTCTTGTGGGATAGCCTGACTGTGGTTCTTTGCTACTTTTTATTTCTGGTGGCGTGCAGTTTTCTTACTTTGACATGGAAACGCTCTGGATTTTGGCTAACACATCCCTGAGGCTTGCCATTTTCTTTGTAGCTATGTTGCGTGATGGATGGAATACTGAACCTGGAATCAGGAAGACCTGAGTTCAAATCTAACCTTAGACACTAGCTGTTACGACCCTGGGCAAGTCACTTTGGTCTGCCTAAGTTTCCTCATTGTAAAATGGGGATAATAATAGCCTGTCCCTAGATTGTCATGTAGATCACGAGTTAGTATATTTAAAGCTCTTTACAGACCTTAAAGAGCTGTGTAAATAATAGTTATTATTTCTGTCAAAATCACTGTCATTTTTCTAGTAAGAAGGAAGGAAATAAGCAACTTATTAAGGGCCTATGTATCAGGCACTGTGCTAAATGCTAGTTTCCTGAGTTTGTGACCTTGGCATTATCTTGACCTCCTCAACCTTCCTCAACCCACAAATCCAATTAGTTGCCAAATCTTGCCATGTATTTCTTAATGATAAGTTATATACAGAGTGTGCCAAAAGTCTTAATGCAGTTTCAAGCTTTAGTAGCTTGAAACTTTTGGGACACTCTATATTTTGATATGTACAAATCTCCCCCGTTAGAATATAAACTTCTTGTGAGTAGGGATTATTCCTTTAAAAACATTTTTTTCCTCAACTTACATCCCTGGCACATAAACAGTAAATGATTCAGTATTGTGCATGGCATGTAGTAGGGACTTAATAAATACTTGTTGATTGATTCATTGTTTGATTTATTGGTTAGTGCTATTCACTGGAGGTGATCTACTGTAGGATAATTCTTTTCGTGGGGATGTTATAAAAGAAGTGGTTCCAGTTCTAAGTAGGTGTTAGGATAGATGATGACTCCTGACATCTTTTTCAACTCAGATTCTGATTGCACTAAAGTAGAAGGTATAAAATGGGTGGTTGGGAAATGAGCCAATGGAAGTTGGATGTAAAAACCATTACTCTGTTTTAGCATTGTCAGTCAGGTGTCAGGTAAATGGACAGTACAATATCTTTGTTAACTTAACAGTGTGTGAGTATTCACTTTCATGATTGGATTTAATTCTATTATATATTTCTCTTTTAGACGTGTCCTATTTGTGTGTCTCTTCCATGGGGAGATCCTAGCCAGATTACTAGAAATTTTGTTAGCCATCTAAATCAAAGACATCAGTTTGATTATGGAGAATTTGTGGTAAGTGTTTTCTTCAAAAGTATGAAAATCAGATGAATCTATTAATTTTCTATGTAAATTATGTATTTTGAGTAAGGCTGTTGTGACACAGTGATGGTAGTGGAGCCCTTATTTTGACTTTTAAAAATAAACCTCATCTAGAAAGTGATAGCCCTAGCTTTCACCTACTTTTACAGCTGGTGATTATATCATGTTAGATGTAAAAGTTGTCTATAAATTGGTGGAAAATTACTCTTTTTTATCAAGAAAGATCTTGGCCTTCAGAATTTAAATATGCAATTGATTAACAAATTCTGTAGATACTCTTTTTTCAAGTCTAGTAATCCTATATATATAGTGTACTTTCTAAAGTGAAAAGCTTATCTGTATGCCTAAGACAAATGTCTCTTAAAGGAGGCTCGGCTTTAATTTTGGTGAGGACTGAAATGTCTAAGTATTATAGAAGAGCAGATATATATCTTGAGTAAAATTTTCTCCTCTTGTTATGCAGTTAATAGTAATTAATAATTCTCCAAATTAAAATTTGATACCATAATTAAAATGTGACAAATGAATATTTTTAGAGAAGTTAGGTGACATTTATTCTGCTAAATACAAAAGATTTTTCAATTTAACAGCCTTCAAAATGGCCACAGTCCAGCTAGTACCTCTGCTAATTTATAAAGGATTAGCAGTTGATTATTAATTCTTTAATTGTATGTGATATAAACAATATTTCTTTTGAAGTGTACAATGGATCTTTAGAATAGCAAATTTTTGTCTACTTTTTAAAAACCAGTAAAATTTTGTGGGGTGGTGTGGTTAAAAATAGAACTATGTGGTAATCATCTCGATTTGATGTTACTGTGGTGGAAAGAATGGATTTATAGTGAGAAGACTTAGGTTTGAATTTTTACTTTGTTATTTAACTACCTTCATGAGCAAATCATAGAACCCTGTCTAGACCTCAGTTTTCTTATTTATAAAATTGATTTGAAAAAGATTTTTCATTTAGGTCCATTGCAGTTTGAAATCCTGTAAAAATTAATGCAGTGCAGTTTTCATTTATTCATATAAATAGTAAATGGAAATTATAATCCTTTTTAAAAGGATTATAAGATTAATCAAGATTAATTCATTTCTATTCATCAGGCATTTTATTCACCCTCAACATTTATTCAGTAAGAAACAGATACTGTTTGAGACATTTGGAGTATTAAGCTAAAATTAGACAGTCTCTGGTCCTCAAGGAGCCTATAATCTACTATTAGGTTTAGAACATGTTACACAAACAAATACAAGGTTCTTTGAGGATAACATTAAGAACTGGTTGGGGGAGACTTCATGGGGGAAGTGACAACTGATCTCTGAAGAAAGGTACATAGTATTATGGGGGAGGAAGAAGACGGTGACGTGGTAGAAATGTGAGAAGGTAGAAGAAATGTTGAATTCAAGGAACAACTAGTGTGTATGTGTATGGGTGATGGTGGTTGTGCAGTAGTATGAATTATGGCTGGAAAGATAAGTGTGAGCTAGATTATGGAGAGCCTTAAATTCCAGACTGAGGAATTTTTCTTTTACCTTACAGGCAGTAAGGGGCCACACAAAGTTGTTGTTTTTAATTGTTTTTTTTATTCCTTAATTATATGTAAAAACAGTTTTGTTTTTTAAAAATTTTGAGTTCCAAATGCTCTTCCTCCCTCTCTCCCCTTCACCCTCCCTGAGATGGCGAGCAGTTTTTGATATAGGTTATTATATGTTCAATCATACAAAACATTTCCATTATTAGTCATGTTGTGAAAGAAAACAGGGACTAAAAAAAAACCCAACCCAACTCGGGGAAAAAAAAATTAAGTGAAAAGCAGTATGCTTTGATCTGCATTCGGATGCCATCAGTGCTTTCTTGGAGGTGGATAGTACTTTTTATCATAAGAACTTGTCTTGGATAATTATATTGCTGAGAATGGCCAAGTCATTCACAGTTGATCATCATAAAATGTTGCTGTTAATGTGTACAGTGTTCTCCTGGTTCTGCTCACTTCACTCTGCGTCTGTTCATGTAAGTCTTTCCAAGTTTTCTTAGAGTATTCTGGTCATCATTTCTTTTAGCACAACAGTATTCCATCACAATCATAAAGCATAACTTGTTCAGGCATTCCGCATTTGATGGACATCCCTTCAGTTTCCAGTTCTTTGCCACCACAAAAAAGAGCTGCTATAAAGATAAGATTTTGGTACAAATGAGTCCTTCCTCCTTTCTCCACCCTCCCCTCCCAACCCCCTTACCTACCCTTTTTTGGATCCTTTTGGGATATAGGCCTTATTGGTATTGCTGGATCAAAGAATATGCACAGTTTGATTGTCCTTTGGTCATAATTCCAAATTGCTCTCCAGAATGGTTGGATCAATTCACAACTCCACCAACCATGCGTTAGTGTCCTAGTTTCCCCACATCCCCTCCAATATTTATCATTTTCCTTTTCTGTCACATTAGCCAATCTGATAGGTGTGAGATGGTGCCTGAGTTGTTTTAATTTGCGTTTCTCTACTTAATAGTGATTTAGAGCATTTTTATATGACTATAGACAATTTTGGTTTCTTCATCTCAAAATTGCCCGTTTGTATCCTTTGACCATATATCAGTTGGGAAATGACTTGTATTTTTATAAATTTGACTCAGTTCTCTTGAGAAATGAGTTGAGATACTTTTTGTAAAAAAAAAAAAATTCCTCAGCTTTCTGCTTTCCTTCTAATTTTGATTGCGTTGATTTTGTTAACACCAAGTTTTTTTGAGCTGTGTTATGACATGATGACCTGCCTCAGAATATTTTCACAACTATGAAGAATTGATCAAAGAGGAGAGAGACTAGGAACAGAAAGACCAAACTAGCTGGTACATTAGTCCAGGTGAAAGATGAAGCTGTTCTTAAATTAAGATAGTAACCATGTACACAAAATGAATGTGAGAGATGTTTGCTGGCGAATTGGTAGGTCTTGACAACTGATTGGATATAGGGGTGAGGGAGAAAGGGAAGAATCAAGGTTAAGTTAAAAAGCACTGATTATGATGTGTGAAGACTTAAGTTCGTGACTCTACTTATACTACTTGTGTTATCTCAGTTTTCTTTTCTGGGCCTTATTTTCCTCATCTCCATAATGACAATTAGGTGATCTTTAAGGTCATTTCTCATTCTTTGTATTTCTGTGACTCCAAAGTTCTGAACCTGGTGACTAAGAAGTTAGTTGTGTCCTTGACAGAAGTAGATGTTTGAGGCGGGGTGAAATTAGGGAGAAAGCTGATGAGTTTAGTTTTATATGTGTTGAGTTTGAGCTGCCATTGTAGGTACCCATGTGGAAATGTCCAGCAGGCACTTGACTATGTGGGACTTGACTTCTTTTTGTAAGAGATGTAGAGGTTGAATATGTAGATTTAAAACCATGAGAGCTGATGATATCATTTGAGGGATAACAGAGGCCCCAAAAGATCCTTGGTGTGGATACTTATACAATGTATGGGAGATGGATGGATGATGAAACAGCAAATAAAACTAAAGAGTGGCTAGACAGGAGGAAAACCAGCTCTGTCAATGCTGTGGAAGTCAGTGAAGAATGATAATTAGGAGGGATGAGGTAGCATAGTAGTGACTGAAGCTGCAAAGTGATCAAGAAGAATGAGGACTGAGGAAAAGGACATTAGATTTTTAGCAGTTTATATTACTGATAACCTTAGAGAGAGAATAGTTTGAGTAGAGTGGTTGAGGATCACGAACCAGATTGCAGGGGGTTTGATAAGTGTGTGTAAGTGGCAGTGAAGTGGCGGGAGACATTCAGAGAAGGGCAACAAAAGGATCAAAGAACCATAGGCTTACATTTGGAAAGGACCTCAGAAGTTGTCTTGACCATCCCCTTCAGCTACAGATGAGCAAACCAAGGTCTGGAGATCTGACTTGTCTGCTGTCATATAGGTTGTAGTAAATATAAGAGATGTGATTTGAACTGAAGTCCCCTGAACTGATGCTCTTTCCACTGTACTATGGGAGCTTGAAATAGAGGATTTTGAAAGGATGTCAAGGTAAGATGAAGAAGACTTTTAATTTTATTTATGTATTTATGTTTGGTGAGGCAGTTGGGGTTAAATGACTTGCCCAGGGTCACACAGTGACCCTGTCAAGTGTCTGAGGCCAGATTTGAACTTGGGTCCTCCTGACTCTAAGGCTGGAGCTCTATACACTACACCACCTAGCTGTCCCTAGAAGAAGACTTTTTGAAGATGGAAGATAGTTTTCACAAAGAATCTAGCTAACTAGTATTATCTTAAGAATAAGGATTTATTTGCTATTTAAAATTGAATAATTCATAGTATCATAAAATTGTAGCTAGAAGGGAGGGAGTTTAGAGATTATTTATCTAGGCCTCTCAGTTTTGTACATGAAGATGCTGACACTGAAAAGTGAAAGAACTTGCCAAAGCCACACAGGTAGTAAATAGAGTTAGGAATAGAACTCTGGACTTCCACCTCCAAAATCAGAGCTTTTCTCACTCCACCATGGTCTTTTAAGAAAAGTTGTGGTATATGAATGCAATGGAATATTATTGTTCCATAAGAAATGATGAACAGGCAGATTTCAGAAACACGTAGGAAGACTTATGTGACTGATGCGGAGTGATGTGAGCAGAACCAGGAGAATATTGTACACAGTAACAGCAACATTGTGCAATGACCAGCTTTGATAGAATTAACTCTTCTGAGCAATGCGGTGATCTATGACAATTCCAAGACTAAAGATGGAAAATGCCATCTACATCCAGAAAAAGAACTACAGAGTCTGAATGCAGATTGAAGCATACTATTCTTTTTTTTTTTTTTCCCCAATATATGTTTTTTCTTTCTTGTGGGTTTTCACTTTGGTTCTGATTCTTCTTTACAACATGATTAATATGGAAATATGTTTTACATGTTTGCACATGTCTAGCCTATATCAGATTACATGCCGTCTTGGGGATGAGAGGGAGGGGGAAAATTAAGAAGTCAAAATCTTATGAAAGTGAATGTCGAAAACTAAAACTAAATGAATAAATAAATAAATAAATAAATAAAATTTAAAAACAAAAAACCCGTTCAAAATGCCATTGCTCTTATATGGCTTTGTGTAGGTGTCACTAAATCTATCAGATATGACCTTTTAAGCTACCGTCAGCTTTTCTATTAAATAAATTTTCAATTATCTAAAAGTATAAAAAGCTATTACTAGTACTTAATAAATACTCAATATATAAAGTTAACCAACTTTTAAAGGCCATCATCTGTTTTTCTATTGAATTATTGCCCATTTGACAAAACAGGTATTTAGTATAATATAAAGATAATTAAAGATTAACAGATAAGTGTTCTACCATATATATAAATGCAAGTCTTCTCAAGGTGGTATGATTCTGAAGATGATATCTGATAAGTTAGCACTTCAAAGTAAGCAATTTTGTTAAAAATCTTCCTGGTTAGTTTTTTCCAGACTGTAAGCTTCTTGGGCAAGTTTTTATTTTCTTTATTTTTTTGCCTTTCTTTGTATCCCCAGGGCTTAGTTGAGTACTTGGCACGTAATAGGCACTTAATAAATGTTAGCTGATTATTAACTTTTTATTATATTTCAAATGTTATCTTTCCAGATAATAGAAATGTAATGGTATACATAACCCCGATAGCTGAAACACTTAAAGCTACATGTGGCAAAACTAGAATTTACTTTTACTTATCTGAAAAAGTAGCAGAAATAACAGTGAAATTTTATAATCACCAAGTCTGTTTACTGTTTAGTTATGAAAGTTTAAAAAAATTTCAAACTTTCCCAGCTTCAAAAATAAACATTCTTATTTCTTTTTTAATACAAAATTTTTATATTTCATTTATATTTTTATATATTTTTCAAATTACATGTAAAGACAATTTTTAATTTTTTTTTTTAACATTTTGAGTTCCATATTCTACCCTCCCTATCTGAGACAGCTAGCAGTTAGATATAGCTTAGACTTGTGCAGTCATGCAAACAAAACATTTCCATAATAATCCATGTTGCAAAAGAAAACACAGACCAAAAAGGCCCAAGAAAAATAAAATTTAAAAAGTATCCTTTGATCTGCATTTAGGCTCCATCAGTAATATTCTCGTTGCTGTGTGATAGAAACTTAATTGGAGTTAAATAATTTTTTTTACACTAGAAATGATTATTTAAAAGCTAAAATGCCTTTTTTTTTAAAGAATGTAAATTTCAGTTTTGCAAATATTGGGTATTTTACTGGTGCAATTTGATATTAATTTTATGTAGAAGATAATGGCTAAAATTCATTGATATAGAATAGAAAATAAAGACTGGAGTAATGAATCAAATATAATTTTATTTGTGGAAGATAATATTTGCCCTCTTCCATCAAAGCTAAATACTAATTTATTTAGCTGGCTTTGACTAGCATTAAAAATCCTTATACAAAAGGATTGAAATAGTTGAATATCCCTAAATGGTACTTCTCTTATTTTAATCCCCGATTTTTCTTTTTTCCTTTAGAATCTTCAGTTAGATGAGGAAACACAATATCAAACTGCTGTTGAAGAATCTTATCAAGTAAACTTCTGAAGGTTGTAGTCATCTGCATCTTCTATCTGCAAGTGCCATCTTTGAGGGAAAAGCTACGTGAATTCATGTTCAGTAACCTGATGTGTATATTAATAAAAAGGAATTCAGTCTACTCTTTTGTTTTTATTGTAAAACAAGGATAGACTTTTAAAAACATTGTCTTTTCATCCTTGAAAAATGGAGGTTATAGTATTACTTAAAAAGCATAGAGAGGAACTTTGGTGATGGTGAAAAATGGAGTCTGCTGATGTAAATGTTGTACCTTATTCTTTTCTATGTTAAGCTTTCTTGAATTTCTCATTTCTCAATTTTTAATTTGATGCAGTTTTCCCACTTTATTCATTGTGCAGTAAATAATAGTAGCAAATTTTTTTTTAAATGGATTAAACCCTTATAAATCTGAGCCAGTTATTACTACTATCAAAATGGAAATTTTGAGAATTAAATGGAAAGTCATCTTTTCATGTGATTTGTAGCTGAAAAATTAATCTTAAAATTGTATTTATAGAATTTAGTATTTTGAAGAGTAGTGAGATTTCTTTAGTAATATTAATACTTAAAGAAAGGAAGGTGAATGTTGCCATTCCGTTTCCTTATGTTAAAAATGTGGAGTGTTGCATAGCTATGTAACTTCCTTTTTGTCATTGGGAAGAAATTATATGCTATTATCAAAGGAAAATTTGTTTTATTTCTGTGGAAGACAGTTAAAAATGGGACAGTTAAAAATCTTTGACTGTCATTGACCATTAACACTGAAGAAACAGTTACTTGAGCAACCCTTGGTCCCAGAATTTTAGTAGTAGTGATTCTAAGTAGTTATGACAGCAAGTGAGTTTAATAGAACGTTTTTTTTTTCCTTTTGAATTGGTGGTATTACATGCTGATAAACAGGTATTTAAATGAGGTATATCCTCTTCTATGTATATAAGAAATTTTCTTTTATTCATAAAGGCTAAGGTGTATGCTATATATTTTTTGGCACTTTTGCGGGTGATATACATGCACCGTTTATCTGCTAGATATGAAAAAAAAATGGAAAAGCAATATGGAGGTCAAAGGGTTTTTATTGGATTAGTTAAATATGTATAGTCACCATCATTTCCAAAAACCCACTCAGAAACCAAATGCCAGGTTGTCCAGTTGGCTGCTAATACTTTTTTTGTGGGAGACGGGGAGGAGGGGGTCAGTTTACATGCATGTGGAGCACTCATGGTTTATGTCAAAAGAAAGTTAGACTAAAGCAACGACAATAAATTCTTAAGTCAGAAAGTCTGTCTCAGGACTTTGTAGTGACAGGATTATCTTTTGCATTTTTTTGTTTTCACTTGTGGTGGGAGTGTTTACACATGCATCATAAATTACCTTGCACTGGAAGGCCTAAATCATAGAATTAGGATAAAGAGTGGACTCTGACATTCCATGCTAATGTATACTGTTTACGCTATCTTAAAAACAGCAGAAAATGGAAACCTCAAAAGTAGTTTGCTGCTAATATACATATTGTGTAAAAAAAGTCTATTTTGGTTTTGTTAAAACCCTCAATGTTAACTTTTCTACAGTGAACATTTCTTAACTGATTTAATAAAGATGTTAATTTTGGAAGTGGTATTTTGTAAAAAAAAAAAAAAATTTTTAAGTCAAACAAGAGTAACTTAATCAATGGGTGTCCGCAATAATCACATAGGAAGCCATACACGTAAATGAGCATAGCCTCTGTTCTGTCATTCCAAAGAGTGAAAGTTAACTACATACTTGAACATTATCATTTTGCTTACATGCCCTTAGAATTACAATTAAAACTTTTCAAAAAAAACTTTGACCTAATTTTCTTTTCCAGTTTGAAGCAATAAGTTCAATAGTTGAATAATTTAAATATATCATAGTATTTTGAGACTTGGGGAACTTTAAAGGCCAACTGGCTATGGTGTATAAGTTGGCTGGTAGTTCATTTGATAGAATTGCCTTTTGAAGCCTGTTTAGTTTGTGACTAAGTTAAATGTCTGTAATGTTTGAGGTGACTGTCTCTTTTTATATCTATAAGACTTTACATAAATACAATGTTAATGTTTTATGTTCCTATTTGAGAATACAGAGCTAATAACATTACTACCCTCGGAGGTTTATTCAGGTACAAAGGGTATGGAATACAAATTCTAAGACTGGGAATAAAGGGACTGAAGCAATCAGAAATGATAATTTCAGAATGTCTTCCATTTGCTAATGAATTAAGGAAGGACTAAGGCTAATGGGTTTACAATACAAGTTCAGAATGAAACTTGGGTGGGGGGTTCATGCTCAAATTTGAAATGCTTAAATTTCACCATACCACTTAGGGAAACCATTCTCTTCCACCAGTTACTTTGTATGTTGTAAAACACACTGTTTTATTTGAGATGTATTGATTTATTTTTCAATTAAAAACTTTTCCCCCTTCTATTCTAATAGTGTTCATTGAAACTTGTCTAGAGACAAAAATGGCAGAACTTGTATAACCTTCTTTAAAAGAAGTTGGAAAGATAATTTCTTTTTTTCCTTAAGGGAAGAAGTTGATAGCTGTAATGCTTCCATGCTGTTGGATTTAGCTAAAAAAACAAACCCAAACAACTGTCCTTCTCTTTCTCTCTCTCTCTGTCTCTCTCTCTCTCACTCACTCTCAATTAGCCACTTTTATATGAAGAAATTATCCTTAAGCAAGATGTCTGGGGCTTGAGGAGAGTATTTGCCTAATACAATGTGATGCTCACATTAGAAGCTCAATAATTTGTTGATTACTATCCTTAATGAGTTCTTTTGGAGAAGCCCTTTAAGGCCTGCTGTTTAGTTGTAAACAGTATGCAAATCAGTCTCTGATCTCATCTTTGGGCCTTATCTGCAGAATTTCTGATATGTTCCTGCCACTGCCTTAAAGTGGTCGTAATTTTCCCTGTTACCAAGCATGGAAATATGCACACATATTATAATGAGTTTTCTGTAAGACTAGCCTTAGGACCTTGACTGGATTCTTTCAGGGGGCACCTATTTTGCTTTCATGCCTGAGCTTTTGTTTAAAGACCTTAACAGATAAACACTTCCTCAACTGCTTAGATCTTAAATGTGGCTTCATTGATGAGAATATGACATTTCCTTAAGAAAAATGGAGGACCCCATTTCTCTTAGGATCAGCAAGTCACTTGAAAAGGACTAGAAATCAATTTTAGTGTTCATATTTGGTTTTATAACCCTGATGCCTAGTGCATACTAAGTGCATGTTAAATTCAAATTAAATGAGTAGAATTGAGATGTCCCTTGGTGTAGTCGACATAGCATTAAATTTATAATCAAAGGCCTTGGGTTAAAACCCCAGTGCTGTTATTTACTACCTGCGTGGTTGTGGGTAAGTCACATCCTTTCTTTGAATTTGCGTGTTGGTCATGTCTGAAAAATGTGTATCTTTAAAGTTCAGAAGGAACCAATAAGGCTAAGAAAGTTGTGATAACGATAGAGGAGATTGTAAAAGATAAAAATAGACAATTTTTACTGTGTATAGCTAAAGAATAGAGAAATGATAAAGTGGGGAAAGTGTTCACATTATCAGTGATGTAAGTCTTAAGATACACAGGAAATTGTCTCGAAGTTGTAGTACCAAGGGCCAGTCCTGAAAATGTAGTCAAATGACATGAAGTTTTTAAAGGATTTTTAGCATATGACTACATGAAAGCATCCTCCAGATCACTAATAGACAAAAAGTCAATTAAAATTGAGGTTACACTTCATTCCAGACAAATCGGCAAAGATTAATGTTGGAGGGACTGGGAAAACAAACACACTAATGTATTGTGGAGCTGTTAAGTGGTCCAACTATTCAGGGTTTCAGTTTGGAAATATGCAAGAAAAGTGACTGAACCAAACCATCTTACCACAGGGCATATACCCCAAGGAAGTCAGACAAAAATATATCCTCCAGTCAATTAACCAGCATTTATTTACTGCTTACTATTTTGTAGCTACTGTTCTAGGCTCGGGGAATATAACTACAAAGAATAAAATGATTTCTCCTTTCAAAGAGTTTACTTTCTAACGTCCAACATGTACCAAAATTTTTATAGAGAAAACCTGTGATAGCAAAGAACTGGAAATAAAATAGATGTTCAATTTTTGGGAGATGACTGAAAAACTGGTATATGAATGAATGGAATACTGTACACTAAGAATGAGGAATTCAGAGAACTGTGGGAAGACTTCTGTCCTAATGCAGAGCAAATTAGAACAATACAGTTTAAGAGAAAATCTTATGAAAAGGAAATTGAACTCTGAATAATGGAAAAACCAATGAAGACTAGAAGAGATGACTCGTCCACCACAGAGAGGTGGCAAGCTACCAGGGTAAAATACTGTGTAAGTTGTCATACAAGGTTTCTTTGTTTCAGAAAGGATAATTCAATCTGGAGGGGTGGTGAAAAATGACTGATGTGAAGATGAAAAGAATTAATAGAAAACTTTGAAACAAGAAGAATATAAAAGGGCTATGAATACATGTTGATGGGGTGCTTGGGTGCTTGTGCTTGGATCCCACTTCCAAGATCATTTCTCCCTAGCCTCAAGGCACTATTCCTGACAGTTTCCCTCCAGCTCTGGCAATAACTTGTGAGTGGTCTCAGTGAGGCAAACTCTTGTCACCCTATTACAAGAACAAGCTGACCTCTGTAGAATTTCCTTTGTATGAACAAGACCGTCTTGTGCTAGCAGAACTATAAAGTACTGATACCCACAGTTAGTATATACAATCCAGAGGTCAGGCTATAGACATCAGCTCCTGAAACTGTCTTGTTACAGACTTAATAGACTGCAAACACACCCCTTAGGAAACCTCTCCTGGGTTTCCAGTAGTGAATGACACCTGTGACCAAGGTTGTATGTTATCATCTAATTAGCATACTTGGGACATAATCCACTGCTTTTCCTTTATAAGCTTTAGCATCATTCCTGTTAGGTTGCAAGTTCCCTAAGAAGCTCTGCCTACCATGGCAGGTTCCTTGAGAATCCTTGCCTGCTGTATAGCATAACAATAAATTTTTGCCACCTTGACTTAAAGAGTGTTTGAGTCCATTTCATTCCAGACGACCCTGTCTTATACTCCAGTCCTTGAGAGGTCTCTGAACCTCTCATTTCGCAACAGTGTCAGTGAGCAACCATGATAGAGGATGGAAAGAAGGCAGATTGCAAGGCCTCTTGAAGGCAGGGACTGATGAGCTTCTTTTTGTATCCCCAGCATTTAGCATAGTGTCTGGAACATTGTATGTAGATGCTTCGTAAAGTTTTATTGATTGACAGAATGATTGATTTTCACTTTGTTTCATTCTTCCCTATCAAAGCGTAGTTTTTAGATTAGAGAGAATAGAATAAAAATGGTAAACAAGTATTAAAACTCATTAAGTGAAAAAATGCTGTTAGAGGATTGAATTGCTCTCAATTTGTCACTATGAAAAAATAAACTACATCCTAAGGTACTGAAAGAACTTGCTGACTTGATTTCTGAGTGTATTTTGGAAATCTTGGAGAATAGAAAAGTTAGCATAGTATTAAAAATAAGAAAATCATCCCAATTCTTTAAAAAAAAAAAGCCTAGATAGTGAAATCTTCAAATATAGCTCAGTGACTCGACTGATTTTTCAGCAAGGCTATAACATTTTTTAAAATAAAATTTTATTGATATCTTTTGTTTATCACTTACATTTTCTAATGCTGCCCTATCTTAGTAAACCCTCCCTTCTTTGCAATGACATAAAAAAAAGAAAAAAAATCTAACCAACATGTAAAAAAAAAAAAACTTAGATTTTGTGCACGTATTACAGCCATACTTTCCTCATTTCTGCAAAGAATCAGGGAGAGATGCTTTTTTTTTTTTTTGTGAGGTGATCAGGGTTAAGTGACTTGCCCAAGGTCACATAGCTAGTGTTAAGTGTCTGAGGTTGGATTTGAACTCGGGTCCTCCTGACTCCAAGGCCAGAGCTCTATTCACTGTGCCACCTAGCTGTCCCAAGAGATACTTTTTCATAATCTCCCTTAGGACCAAGCTTGGTCATTATAGTTTTGTAGCATTTGCAGTTAAAAAAAAAATTCCAGTTCTTTTCATTTGTTGTAATCATATATATTGTTATCCTGCTGCTTACTTCATTTTGCATCCTTTCATTTAAATTTTCCTGTGCTTCTTTGTATGCATTCCATTCCATTCATGTTAATAACACTATTTAGCCATCCCCAGTTGATAGGCGTCACATCTCAAATAGAATTTATTTTCTTTCTCCTTCAAACCACACATTTTCCAAATTTCCTCATTCAGAGATGCTACCAAATTTTTATTCACCCAAGTTTGGGACCTCAGTGTCATCTTTTATCCCTCACTCCACATATTCACCCAATTGCAAAATACCGTTTATACCCCCACCACATCTCATACACATCCTCTCTACACTAATACAGCGATGTCCTTATTTCTTGCTTGGGTAACTGCAATAGTCTTATCAAATTTGTCCCTTCTTTAATCCAGCTGCTAATGTGATTTTTCTTTCCTTCTTTCTTTCTTTCTTTCTTTCTTTCTTTCTTTCTTTCTTTCTTTCTTTCTTTCTTTCTTTCTTTCTTTCTTTCTTTCTTTCTTTCTTTCTTTCTTTCCTTCCTTCCTTCCTTCTTTCTCTTTCTTTCTTTCTTTCTTTCTTTCTTTCTTTCTTTCTTTCTTTCTTCTTTCTTTCTTTCTTTCTTTCTTTCTTTCTTTCTTTCTTTCTTTC